AGGAACCTACACAATTTAATGTTTACATTCCTGTAGCCGCTTTGAACAATTGGAATTTGCTCTGAATCTTGAAGTCCAGCAGACAGCGCTACCATTGTGGTTAAAGGGCACTTTGGAAGAAAGAATAACACTAAAACTGAGGGTATAAGGTCTGTGCCTGTGTGGATACTGAGGTCCTCTTTGTGAAAGCATAATACCATGCTCACACAACATGAGAGGTCATAAATTGTTTCAAAATTCTACTTCATTGTTTGTTTTTACAAAGAGAGGAAAGCCTCAAGAAAGAGTGAGAAAAGAGAGGGAGAAGGAGAATGAGCCTTTGAATAAAAGATGCTGAAGATGAAATACAAAGCCCACAAAAAGAGAAAAATGAGACAGAGGTAATTAGCTGGGAAAAGGCTTGATGAGACCCTGGCTGCTGTGCCCAAACAGGTCTGAGCACAACAAGGGAACTGGAAAGAGAGGAGGGAACCAGAAAGGTTTCATTCAACTACAGGGAACTGAAGACATCCCTATCCTGATCAGAAATGACAAGGAAAAACACCTGTCCCCTTCTGGTTGAGCAGGACATCTGCCATTGTCGATTGGTAGTCACTGCAGTGACACCATCCTCTGTTGCTCCTTGTGGCACAGTGGTGTGTCCCCACCTCTGAAACAGAAGGCCTGGATTCAAGTCCCACCTACTCTACAAGTGTGAGGTAACATCTCTAAAAATGTTGATTAGAAAGTAAGGTAGTACCCAATCCAGCATCATACGAATGCCCAGATCTGATCGAAACTTCATAAAATCTAAATGTCCTGAAGATAGTCAACCAGAACTCCTGCTCCCAACTGAGTGGGTGAACTTGTACATGCGCAGACAGGCTGTGGGACTGGATAACCTAATGGCTTCCATAGTTAAATATCATCACCATCTGCTTAATGTTATATTTAAGGAATGACCAGTTGCTTTGTTCACTGCCTAGCTACTATAACCTGAGAAAGTGTGCCCAAACCGTACGGTTGAGTGCAAGAAGGTTGGAGAAAAATTTCTGCAAATATTGGATTAATGAAAAATGATAACAGGAACTAATTTGATCTGTTTATTTTAATGGCTTTGACTAAATTTTTGTTTTGCAGACACTCAAGCAGTATCCTACGTGTGTACACATTATTTTCTGGTCAATTACAAATCACTTAATAAATTTGCAATAAATATGGAAGTGGTCTCAATATTTATTCGTAATTTGGAGCATGCATAGATCAGAGAAATGGAAGTATAGTAATGCTTTGAACTCTACTGTATATGTACATATAGAATGTATTTAATTTTGGAGGCAAGCTATATAAATCATTTAAGCTTTGCATGTTAATGTTGAATAAGGCCAAAGATATGGGGAGCGATGAGATTTTACAGTTGACTAGAATGGACAGAAAACATTGGGAAAGTGGTTCTCTAAGGTAAATAGGTTACCATGCACAAGTTCCAGCTGCAGTTAGCAAGAATGAACAGAATGACATTCCAGCTGCTGTGAAGGCCATGTTCCGGTTAAGACCATAAAGCGGAGAAAAATTTACATAAACCAAAGGAATTTGATGGTTGCTAGCTATTTAAAGTTTTGGCAGAGATCCGTAGCTCGGGTTGTGGGTGAGGGTGTTGACTTGCTCGGGGATTGCTAGCTATGTATAGTAAAACCATATAATTTGGACAATTTTCACAAGCAATTCCAAATAAGGAAATCGTAATGCCAACTTGGCAGGTGTGAACTATATAAAAAGCAGCGCAGAAATCCCCAATTTTAGCAGGACTCCGGACATTCACTACTGCAAAAAGAAATTGGCAGGAGGTGTGATAAAGATGTCGAGAAGAATTCCAGCCTGGCCAGCTGCCAACTCTCCCGGGTAATAATGTTTGGGGTTAGTTACAGAACTCTGGCTCGGAAAGGACTGTTGTTGAGATATCTAAAGTAAATGATACATACCTTTAACTACTAAAGTGCTTAATTAATTGAGTTTTATAGACCTCTAAATTTCTCTGCTGTATCTTCATCAATGAATATACTATTGTCTGACTGAGACAGGCAAAAATCAATTTATGGAAGCATTAAAATCTAAAAGATTTTTTGTTGTGGTCGCTTTAGAAGTGGTCTTAAATCTCCACACAATTAACATTTAAACTGACAAAAAAAAGTCTAGAACCAACAATTTGCTTTTATGAAGTATTTTCAATGTCGCAAGGTCATTTCAAAGGGCTCACAAGAGCATAAGCTTTCAAAAAAAATGGATAGCAGCCTAATAGGGTTGCTAACTCTGATAGAGAAATTCCAGGTTTGATCATACAACATGTTCAAAAAAAAAAATTGTGCTTTCCGAATTTAGGTTTGTCATCCTTTATTTGAGCAAAGTCATGAATGGATACATGCCCAGAACTAGCTGTGTAAGAAGTTCCAGTAGTGAAAATTTTGATTACCTGAGGGGAATAGTGGAGGCAGATTCAATCATAACTTCCGAAAGGAAACTGGATATATACTTGAATTGGGTAAACAAAATTAAGAGCCAATTGAATCAAAAGAGTGGGGTAATGAGACTGATTGAATCTCTGAATGAACTGTCAGAGGTACTTTTATACTCACCGAGAGAACTAAAGTTGCAAACGACAGGAGGTAGAGGTGGAATGAATGATCGGGGTCACTGACAAAGTGACTGAATGATGTCATCATACATAGGCACAAACCGTACTAGTAAAGACTGACTGGTATATACCAAAGTCATTGATATTATTGGGAGAAAGTATACAACCTAGTGAATGATGAGCTGAGTGAAACTGCTATAGACTCCTGGATGGCTGCTGTGGAGTTGTAGTGCATGAGGGAAGCAAAGAATGGTGAAGAGAGAAAATCAAAGAGGAGAGAACTATTTATAGAGAGGAAACAAGAATTCAGTTGAAATCCAGACTGAAGTTACCAATGAGGATTATATTATCCATGCTATGTGCTTTTCTAATCTGCTCTTTAATACCATGCCTACCTGCAACTCCTGTTTTGTGGCCTGGGAATAACTCCTACTAATGTTTGCTGCCTCTTGCTGTTTCTTAGCTCCACCGAGAACAGATTCCATTTTTCGTTCTTCAGGTCCAAGATCCTAATTTAGCAATGTACGGACCCCACCCCATATTATCAGCATAATGCTAATTTTTTTTTTGCTTGTCTATCTTAAATACCAAATACTCAGTCACCTTCAGCCACATATCCCTAATGGCAATTATATCATACATATTTAGCTCCATCTGTGCCTGTATGTTATCTATCTTAGTGAAAATACTGCATTCATTCAGAAAGAATGCCCTTAGCTGTGTCATTTTGGTATCATTCCCTTCTAAGCTTAGTTGATGTTTACCTTTATTTCATCTGCCTTCTAATTTTACTTGCCAAATTTCTATTTCCAGTTAGGTTTACTTTCTTCCGATGTGAGCTACCTCCCTGGTTCCTGTCTCCCTACTAAAGTAGTTTAAAAACTTTCCCCAATAGTATTAGCAAATCTCCCTATACAGATATTCCCTTGTTAAGGTGTATAGATCCCACTTGCCCGAAAACTGGACCCAATGCCTCAAATGTGATGGATTCCCTTCTACGCCAATGCCAATCCCAATCAATTAATCTTCCTATTCCTATGCTCACTAACATGTAGCACTGGGAGTAATCTTGAGGTTACTGTTTTTGTGGTCCTGTTTTTAAAACTCCTTCCCGACTTCCCAAAATCTGCGCTTTCAGGATCTCATCTCTCTTCCTGCCTATTTTGTCATGTCCAACGTAGACTGTGAACTTTGGCCATTCATTCTCCCCCAGGAGGTCTTGCTGTTATTCAATAACGCACCATCCTGCAATCAGACTTATTGCTGCAGACAATATCTGTTTGACTCCCTGACTGTGGAAGCCTTTATCACTGTTGCTTTTCTAATCATCTTTGTCCCGTCCTGTAAAGCTGTCACCAGACTTGACTCTGGCAGTACTCCTCTGATGAACTATCACCCTCGCCTGTTTCCAAAATGGAATACTAACGAACAAGCAAGATGGACTCAGAACTCTTGTACTACTTGCCTGGTTGTCTTAGACTGCCTGTTCCCTCCTAATCTACAGTGTGACTGCCTTTGTAAATGTGCTATCCATATATTTCTGTTTCATAGGTAGACAACATTGGTACATGAGCAACAACTGGAGTCAAAGCCCAGAGCTTAAATTTGTGCAACCGATGACACTTCCTGCAGCTCATTCATCTTAGGACAGATGGTACATCTATGACTATCCACATACCACAGGAATTGTTTCACATTTGGCCAAGCTGAGCTACATTTCGTAACTTTCAGAGCTTTTTACTGAATGGGATCAAACGTTATGGGAAGAAAGCAGGATTAGGCTATTGAGTTGGACGATCACCCATGATCGTGAAGAATGGCCAAGCAGGCTCAAAGGGCCGAATGGCTCCTCCTGCTCCTATCTTCTGTGTTTCTATTTAGAATATGGAGAATAACTTACCAGTTATTCACCATTCATCTTCTTGTGCAAAGGTAAGAGCCATTTACTGGATTTAGTGAACATATTTCACAGCAGAAGCCTTATCTAAACACAACCGCAAGCGATAGCGAACGAAGGGATGTAGACGAGCCTAGTATCAGATTGAATGGAGAATTGTGGAGATTGCAGGGCTGAAGTAGCTGACAGAGCGAGAGGGAGGCTATGAAGGTATCTAAACAAAGTTTTCATTACAAGGAGACTGGTCAATAATTGTAGTGAAGATCCAGGTTAGTGGCAAAGGAGATAATCTTGGAGTCATTCAAGAAATAGTCAGATGTTGGAGTCGGATAGGCGTCTATAGGTTTTCCTATGCAGACGAGTGAAGTTGGGCAGAATGACCTTACTTAACCATTATACAGTACAGTATGGAATTAAATTGCTTTCTTACTAACAGTGTTGATGTATGTACACCCACTTAATCCAGAAAACATGAATTAGAAATAATTGATCCTAATTTGAACAGTAAACTTTATTAGAAACTTCTTCATTCAGTTAATTCACATTTAAAACTCTGAAGGCAGCACCGTCCTTACATTCGACACCCTGCAGCTGCAACAATTTCCAGTTTAAAAACTAAATAAATTGGTAACTTTAAAACAGAAAATTAAGCAGCATCTTAAAATGATCTGACCTATGCAGAAGTGAAAATGTCTGTAGTACACCAGTGAAGTGACTGGTATGGAGCAGAGTTATAATATGTTCTCTGCACAGATAAAACTCTTCCACACACATACTAGTACATTGAGGTGAACAAAGTTTTTCAGCTGAATGATGCAAAACCGTTTCTTGCAAAATCTTGTTCAAAATAAAAAAAACTGACTTGAGCTTTGTATGAGTGAATATTGTGTAATCTCTCAGTAGTTTCTTTTAAAAATTCATGCAGAACTTCACAGGAAATTTTGCAATAAGTAGAAGCTCGTGCATACTGGCTTCAAGGCATATTGTTTTCATCATCTGTTACAAGCCAGATCTCAAACAGCCTAATACAACATTCATGCTAGAATTAATAGCACAGTATGAGTATACAAGCCAATACCTCTGTATTTAAAAACAACTACCGTAAACAGGCCCAAAGGGTGATTACTAGCATCAAGAATTTCTTCCACCTGCATGTTCAGTTTTAAACAGGAGGAAATACTAAACAATTACAAGGCATTATCCTCAAGCTACAACCTGCTGAACATTACAGGATGTATTTGAACAATGTAGATTTTGTAGGGACAACAGGCTAAAATTACAAATGTATATAAAGCGGTTTCTAGGATTACGAAGATTTCATAATGAGATACTGCTTTACTGCTAAAATAGGAATACTTTTAACACTGGTTGCAAATAATCCTCTTAATTCATATGACAGGTTCCCCTCTAATTCCTATCTAAGCATTGTCTATTTGGAAGTCATATGATATTTCAAACAACTGTGAATCCTCCACAGATTAAAATATGATGTAAACTACAGCTTTCCATTGCTTTGCTTTGATTTTCCAGCTTAGTCCAAGTTTATTCATCACTGGTACTGCAAATAATTCTTCAGAGAAACAGGCATGGGTAGGGTCTCTATTTCATGCAGTCGTTCCTTGCCAAGAGAAAGGCGAATGGATCTTCGACACAAGTCCATTAAAGGCAATGGTTCCGCTAAAACAATGAAAAAATGAAACATTAGTCAAGATGTCAAAATACTGAGAAAAGAAATCAGACATTACAGAACAAAAAGCACTGGCTCATGCATTTATTATATTGGCCATCAAATGATAACATTTTATATTCCATTTCCCTCTGACACCTTCACAAATTTCAGTTGCAAAATTCCTTTTGAATAACATAATAGTCATTCTGAATCTTTTATCAATAATTGATCAAGATTCTAAAGACCCCTCCCTAAAATATAACGAGCATCTACCTTCAATTCACTAAATGCATCACAGTCACCTTCTCAAAGGGCAGCTAGATACAGCTGAGAAATGGAGACCAAATAGTGAAACACAAATTCTAAGAATAAATAAATTCTGTCCTTCTGTTAGTTCTAGTGTCTAATTTCAACTCCTTCTTACTTATTGACCAACAAATGGAAAGAATATTTCACTATGAATCTACTAAAAGCACATGTAATTCCTAAATTTTTCAGCAGGTCTTCCTCAAGACTCTCTATTCCAATGAAAAAGCCCATGTTTGATCTTTGCACAACTGCGGGTGGACTATTCAGCTGGGGGAGCAACGTAGAGAGCTCAATTCAAGCATTACTGATATCTTTATAAGTGTATTTTCAGTCAGGTCATTCAGAAGTCACATTCTGTGTATTACTTCCCTTTGTGAACCAGGCACTTTGAAGTCAACACTACTATCATTATTACCATGTCGACTAGGAATAGCTAACAGCAGAGGACAGCACTGAGCATCGGATCTTCTTGAAACATTAAGTGACTCAACTGCCTAATATACCAAATTCAGCTTTTACCTTAACTTTTATTGCTGCTTTGCTTGAAATTCTTTTTGTCAATCCTTTTGAGAATTCTTCCATGATTTTGTTCCCAGTAACAAGATGGTAAAATTCTATGAAAACGACTCAGTCAAGTTCTGCACAGCTCGTCTGCTACATCAGGAGTTTTTGTATGAAAGCATGTGAACATAACCTAGTCTCTAAACAAATCCAGTTCCAAAAGCATGTTTAAGATTACCTTATAGCTGCATTGTACTTGCAAAAATAGAACAGATAGAAGCATTCAAAACATTGACCGAAATTCTCCACATTTCATAAACCAACATCATGCCAAAAATAAATTTATGACAAAGTTACTTTATAGCCCTCCAGTTTCCTTGCAATAATTAAGCTGTGAAATACAAAATGGCCATCATCGTCTTGAGGATGTGCCAATTAAATGGTCATCACTGAAGTTAATCTAGATCAGATAACTTCTCAGCCTCACTCCTTGGTTCAAGGATGACAAACCAATTGCGATTTAATTAGATGCAGCATATTCAGATTAGTGAAAGGAAAATTGGCTGCTTTCTACTTGCAATTTACATACACTAATCTCAACTGGATATGTGATTTCCTTCACAGTCAGATAGCCTGCTGGTACTCCTCTTCGAGCTTCACACATGAGTAATAGCCATTTGCACAAAGCATCAGAAAGCAACTGCTGCAAACTAATGTCTGCAGAAAAGGAATAGCATGGGTTTGGTAAGAGAGATATACAATCCACTCAAGTAATAATTAGATACATATGATTTTAAAAAATCCTAATGCCTTTTAACTGTGCACAGCATCGATTCCAATATATCTAAGTAGGCCCGAAACGTCAGCTTTCCTGCTCCTCTGATGCTGCTTGACCTGCTGTGTTCATCCAGCTCTACACCTTGTTATCCCGCATTTCACTGATGTCCCTTATCATCAATAGTCTTTATACCAAACACAATTTGGAGATGTTTTGCAACAGTAATCTTAAACATCATTGAGGAGGAATATAGAGACTCAAAGTTCATTTTTATGACTCATTTTATCTTGAAAAATGCACACAATATTGAAACAACAGTTTTATGGTTGCTTGATTGTTCTGTATGGTTGTACATGAAACACAAATTCATTTCTGAACAAGATACACAGAATTTTTAACTCTGAAATCAAACCCCATGAAATTAGTGTTGATGTAAATCTGAAACAGCTTGGCACCAATGTGAAACTTGGGACTTAAAATGAGTTGAAAGTGAGGTTGCAAGTGTCAGTTCCAAGCTGATTCACTGACATTGGATCAATCACTGTATATTGCCACTGCAGTGTTAGTGCTAAGTGAGACTTCCTGGCATGAATGCTATTGTACTGTGAGACTGTATCCTACAATGTACTAGTGACACTACATTTTCTTAACAGTTTGCCCAAATCAAACTCAGAATAATGAGAAGGTGCGGACATACTACCTACTGTATTTTTGATACATTTAATCACATGAAAAAAAGAACGTCATCTCATGTTAAGTAATATGATTATGCAAGTACAAACAAAAACAGCCCTTCCCTGTTAAAATGAGGACATTGATTTGTTCAAAAAATTCAATTAGTCAGGCATGACCAGTTTTTTTTTACAATTAATGGAGATTGTAATTGAATCGTCTATGCCTTTCTAAGTATTCACTGCTTTCCCAGGCTGGGTCATTACCCTACATGCTAAACAGGAGAAAACCTTTCATCGACTTCCATTGACATAACCCTAAAAAGGTGACAGCCCAAGAATGGTCCCAACATGTGACAGCAAGTAGTTACATGTTATCGTAACTATGTTGTCAGGAGGTCATTCATAACATGACATGCGATTGTCTGGTTAGAATAGGTTTCCAATGAAATGTCAAACCGTGTGAGTCTTCCAAATTCTAGGAGGAGTTGATAAATTGTCATTTTGAGTATGTCTTATGGAAGGATTGTCATAGATTTAGTAACAGGATTCAGGGTGCGAAGAATGAACCTTCCTGCAGATAATAGTACGAGTACCAAATAGCTTACGAACTGCAAGGATAGTGGGTTGCGAAGCAGGTTTTTTCCCCCAGTGGGTAGGCTCAAAACAGACTAACTTACCATCAACAGCAACTGCTTGCTTTTGTGTAGCACCTTGCACAATGCTGTGTGTCCTGGGGTACTTATCCATCATATTCTATATTTGAGGTACAACCAGAACATGCAGCAGTTGAATGCTCTAGTAGTATGGCAAGAATATATGCGCTTTCAGCTGAATTTCTGCCTTTAGTGCTTGTTTTCTGTCTTTTGCTTTGTCCATTTATGTACAATATTCTCTCTGGGTACATGTTGGACTAACCGTTGCTCTTGCAATTTGACATCCAGTGTAGATTTTTCACCAGTCAATACTCAGCTTCACACACAATAGTTTAGCTGTCCCTCCACTGATTTCATACACAAATAAGGATGCCTCCACAGGTGAAGCACAGATAATCACAACTCTACACTTGTCCTCATCTCCAAATGTGCTCTTAATGTGTTGGGAATCTGAAACTACAATTGCCATCCCCAATATTAGCTTTCAGTCAAATCTCAATCAACCTAACTTTTCTCTCTCCCATAATGCTTTCCTACTCACCACCTGTGTGGTGACACTTTTTTAAAAAAGTATCATGGTAATATTTGTTCATGGGAGTGGCCATCAGTGGCTGAGCCAGCATTTGTTGCCCCTTGAACTGAGAGACTCGTAGAGGCCTTTTCAGAGAGCAGTTAACCACATAATCGTGGATATAGAGACAAATGTAGTCCACAGCAGGTAAGGATGACAAATTACCTTCTCTAAAGAACACTAGGGAACCAAATGGCTCTTCTTAAGAATATCGGACGAGTCCATAGTACAGAGAAGCAATAGCCAAGTAGTATTGTTGCTGAACTATTAATTCAGAAATTCAGTTAATTTTCAGGGCACCCAGGTTTGAATCCTGCCACAACAGATGGTGAAATTTAAATTCAATAAAAATATCTGGAATCTACTGATTCAATTGTTGATTTTCAGGAAAAATCCAACTGGTTCACTAATGTCCTTCAGGGGGATGCGATGGCCTAGCAGTATCAGTGCTGGACTGTTATTACTAACATTCTGGGTACCCGGGTTCGAATTCTGGAAGGAAATTGCGACCTTACCTGGTCTGGCCTACATGTGACTCCAGACCCGCAGCAATGTGGTTGACTCTTAACAGCCCTGTGGGCACTTAGGGATGGGCAATAAATACTGGCCTAGCCAGCGATAGCCTCATCCTGTGAATGAGTAAAGGAAATGAATAAAGAAAAGGCAATCTGTCATCCTTACCTGGTCTGGCCTACATGTGACTCCAGACCCACAGCAATGTGGTTGACTGTCAACTGCCCTCAGAAATGGCCCAGCAAGCCACTTAGTTGTAACAATCACTTCGAAGTCTTAAAGAAATGAAATCCGACCAACCACCTGGCATCGACCTCAGCACCGGAAACAGCAACGACAGAAACAGCCCTTTTGTCCTTGTAAAATCCTCCTTACTAATAGCTGAGAGCTAGTGCCAAAATTGGGGGAGCTGTCATGCAGACTAGTCAAGCAATAGCCTGACAGTCGTACTCATGCAAATATACCTTACAATGTCCCAGGCACCACCACCAAAGTCTCTGGGCATGTCCTGTCCCGCCAGCTGAACAAACCCACCAGCAGTGGTCACACAGCAAACAGTCAGAAGCAAGTTGCCCTGGGAGTCTTCAAAATTGACTCTGGACCTCATGAAATCTTGTGGCATCAGGTTAAACACTGGCAAGGAAATCTCCTGCTGATTACCACCTCCTCCCTCCTTTGAAGAATCAGGACTCTTCCACATTGAGCAACACTTGGAGGAAGGACTGACAATTGTGAGGACACAAAATGTGCTCTGGGTGGGGATTTCAATGCCCACCACTGACAGATGCTCGGCAGCAGCCATGACCATTTCTGTAAGAGTGACCAGCAGAGTCCTCGTGGAGAAGTAATCCCACCTACTCTTCGAGAATGCCCTCCATTGTGTTGTGTGGCACAATCACTGCGCTAAATGGGATAGATTTGAGCAAATCTAGCAACTCAAGACTGCATCCATGACGGTCTGTGGGCCCCCTCAATAGTAGAAGAATTGCATTCCAGCACAATCTATAAC